TTAGAGTATTGTAGAAATACACAACTAATTTTATTTTTCCTTAGTGGATTTGCTGTGTATACCATGAATGTCATCATTTATGATTGTTCATTATGAGATGATTTTGTTTGCAGATTGTTAGGCATGCTGAGAGTTGGAATGTCTCTGCGCTAGAAGCAGTTGACTAGATGATTGAGCATAATATATAGACCACGAGAAATCAAGTTGCTACATTTGTAATTATCAGTTGCTGGTCGGATTTCCAAAATAGAGCTTAAATTACTTCATTTGTTTGAAATTTTGGTTAGGTATTGCTTCGTGCTCATAATTATATCAACCACGAGCTCTCTATATATTTTGCCTCTACATAAATGAAAGCTTAGCTTTATGTGATTTCCATCGGCTTTCCTTCTATTACACATTTTGTTTTCTAGTTAAAAGTGATTCATCATCTTTTCCAGATGCACACCAACAAGCAACAATGAGTTGCAGTTGAATATTGTGTTAGAGTACCAAATTTTACTCAAATATTCAAGCAGTTAGAATCAATTTAAAAAATAAATCCAAAGTAATTAATAATCAATGATAATAACATTCTATTCATTTCAACTCATAAAAAAAATCTTTACAACTTGAAAGAAGAAAAGAAAAAGAATCAATTCTAGATAAAAGAACAAAAGTAAAATTATTTCGATTGAATCGATAAATAATAAGAATTCATCGTAGCCAATGCCTCGTCTACATCAGCAATCGGATCATTGTTGTTCATTCTCAGTAACTGCTCCATCTCCTTGAAAGGGCAATCAATAATCTGATTGTCATCATTGATCTCTAATAGCTGTTCCACTTTCTTAAAAGGTCATCATCTTTTGATATTTCTTTCTCATGTACATACAGTAGTTGATCAACTTTATAACTTGATAGGTTTCCGTCATTAGAAACGGTGGATGACTGAGTTTGAATCCGATTGTCGTCGTTGATCTCCAATAACTGATCCACCTCTTTAAAAAGGTCATCATCTAGTAACTGATCAACTTCATAACTTGATGGATTTTCATTATTGAAAACAGTAGATGACTGAATCTGAGACTGATATTCATCTTGATGCTGATGATTCTCATCTGAATGCGTCAACAATAACTTTCCGAATAACTTTTTCACCCAAATAGAATTAGAATATTCATTATACGGAGAACGAGAGGTGTCTTTGATCTTGCAGATAACCCATTCTTGGAACGTGTCTCCGGGAAGACGATACTCATGCATTAACCATCTAGTTTTGGTGGCATCCTTTCGACTTTTTTTCTCATCCTTGAACTCAAAAAAGTTAAGGGTTCTGACGAACCCTATTTCCCTTTGCTGCTCATCAAGTATAGGCTTCTCAGCGGTTGAAGACCTCCAATATCCACCACTGTCAACAACTCCTAGCGTTTCGTCGAATGATGACTTTCAAGAATCCTTCTTGGCGTTTTCCATTCGCTTCTTCTGGGAAATCTCTGACGGTGGGTTGAAGATGAATCGCTGGTTGCTTTTCAAGAAGGGGAGACCATTCCCGTTGTTATCATCAAAAAAGGCACTTGGTTTGGTGGAATAGATGTCTGCAAAACCAATCACGTACTGCAAAT